TGCTATCTTTGCAACCACCAACCTCATCACATCGCATGTCATTATTGCCTTCTGTAACAGTGCTGCCATCTCTCCTTGTAAACTCTACTGGAACTGTCTTTTCTGAGGCACTTTTATATTTCTTATAAATAATGTAAAGGCAAAGTACTAGTATTAAGCAGATTATGATTAGAATACCAATGACTGTTCCCATTATTGGTACAGCAAGTGTTTCCATTGAATCTTCTGTAATCCCACCACATGAAACATTATATACTCCAAATGCTTGCCTCATCGAATGTGATGTATTATCATAATCAACATTAGACACTACATACGCTATCCTCAGTGACCCATTGACTTCCTTTACTCTTAATGAAGTATCACTTATCTCTAATATGCTATCTCCAGTACTATTGATCAATCCACCATCCTTATACCATTTGTGCGTTAGATTAGTACCACGGGATGTCACAGTAAAAGCACCTTCGCCATTGCTATCCATTGTGTAGTTAAGATCTTGTGTTATTGTTGGCATTTCTACAATGAAAATACTATAATAAAATGAATTTCTAGTTTCATACACATGTGACAAATTACCATATTTCTTCTTCAGTTGAACCATAATTATAGATGAAATGTCAGATGGCGAACAACGCGAATTAGTAGATGACTGTATCTGTATTTTACAATAGTATTTGTTAGGTTGATCAGGTTTTTGTAAAAGGTAGCTTTGAAGGTGTTCACTAGTTGAATTTTCAATTGGCCTTGCATTACTGCCAATGCCAATGAACCATTCTGTTGTATAATTTTTAATGGGCGAAGGAAAAAAGTTACAGGTTAAGAGGGTGCTTGATCCCTCTTCAATCTCTACTGTTGTGGTTTCTGTAACATTCTTTACAGGACAAGCTATAGGAATGTATCATATTAATAATATGTATAAGATGTTAGCTTACCATGAAATTCTTGAGAAACGGAGAGGATTCCATTAAGACCACAACTAAAAAAACCGTCGCATTCCTGGGACTGTAGCTGAACCCTCAGCTCAGATGAGCCACTCGTAGGATATGCTGTCAAGCAACTGCTGTTGGTGATACCCTGACTGTTCCTGTAGAAACTGGCTCCATCCACTTGAGTTCCATGTGTACCACTGCATTGAAGAGTTATGGCATTGCCCCCAGATGCAGGACTAGTAAATCTTATCTCGTATGGGGTACTCTGAGAAGAAACAATGTGCCTCTGGATTAATAGAGAAAACAAAGCGAGAAAAAGTAAGGAGATCATCATACTCTGCAAGTTTGGGCGTGTCTTAATAAACAATAAACACCTCTGAGACTCTATAGACCTCTTTGGGTGAGAATGAATTACGTCAATGAATGATATACGGCAAGGGGCGTGACTGAGCCTGGCTGACTCTGAAATAATTTTCGTGGACGGCAACTTTCTATGGAGTATGAATGGGCTAATGCAGAAAGCAAGCTCTATTAAAGAATATGCTTCATATTGCACCAAATCTCTTTTAGGAGATGCTTAGTAGCGACCATTCTTTCCTCCAGCCAGTTTTTGTAGCTTGAAAAAGCTCCATGCCAACGAAAAGAATCAGTTTTGCCTTTTCTCCATTCATCCTCCATTGAATCTTGCCGTCCAAAATGGCGGCCACTTATCACCGTAGGTGGATACCGTAATAAACAGTAATGATATTCATAGGCCGCCGTCAATCTCACCTGAAGAGGTCTATACCATCTCGTGCTGCAATTAGCTATCTGCTCATAATAATCAACACACAAGTTATTATACATGTACACCATTTGAGCTGGGACCATGAGCGTTCA